ACCATATTATCTTTTCATTTTGGTGTTCTGTCGCTTATACTGTAGCAGCCAATCAAAATGCTTCTTTCAAGTTCAACCTTGTACTACAGAAATGGCAGTTGCTACAAGAAATTTTGCTATGACACCTAATCCTTTTAGGACATTAAACTGCCTATCATAAGAATGTAGCCAATCAGATCAGGGTATGGTGGATGTCCCCAGTACCGGGACAGGTCCATCCAGCACCCAGGGCAAGGATGTAGAACTGTGCCCCTCCCCCACTACTAAAGCATGTTGTAGAATGGGTGTACTGCCCTGTGCTCGTTCTCTGCCCCCCTTGCTGTGCTGCGCCCAGGGCCACTCTCCCTCCTGTCACCCCTAGTCCCGTCCCTGTATGTCCCTTATTAGCAGGGGTGTTCTTTCAATCATGAAGGTACATCAGCACATGTGGGCAGGGCTGCTTCTAGAAACCGCGGGGCCCCATACAGCCAACCTGAGAGAGCCACCCCACCAAAAAAAAACAACACTGTTTACTACGCTTCAGTTATGAATGAACACAGTGAGTGATCGGTAGTGATCACTCATTGTGTTCATTCAGGAAAGGAGGTGCTGGTGAATGTGACATATTTACCGGACCCTTATTCCATTCTCCATTCTGAAGGATCCTACTGAGTGCTTGCAACTGCTGGTGGGTACTCCGGCAGCACTGTGGGGGTGGGGGCACACAGGGGGCCTGAGCAGCAGGGGGAAATATATGGTGCACAGGGAGGGGGATCAGCATGATGGGGGGGCAATTACTGGAACCTATCCCCTGTATGCATCTCCCTGCAGCCAGCAGGAGGGAGAGGAGAAAAAACCAGCTTTCAGCTGCTGCAGAGAGAGCCATATAGGGGATCGGTTCCAGTAATTGCCCCCACCATCGTGCCAAACTACCTCTCTGCCTACATCTGATTCACCCAGCTGCCTGGGCTTTGTACAGGAGGACTGGTGGTACCCCCATATCCTCGGCCCTGCATGTGGGCATTACTTAGGGTGGTCTTTGTACAAATACATCCTACCTAGAAATGCCCACTCCTCTAATCTGACTCCTGCCCATAAAGACATTTAGATATTTGCCTTGTCCAAAGAGCCAGCCCACTGCTTGCATCAGAGCCAAGGGCTCTTGAGGAGTACTGAAGCAGGGTGCTGTGATGTTTTCAGGAAGCTACGTACAGCACCCTGTTAGCCGCTCCCACCAGCCATGATCTGCCTGCACTGCTTAGAGAAACACAGAGATACAGTGATGATGTCAATGCATTTAAAATAAGATATGAAATGAAAATGGAAAGGTTTTTATTAAAGAAAAAAAATCACTAGCATGTTGATATGAAGGGAAAGGAGGAACCAGGAAAGCCAAAATATAATCAGGTGAAATTACAGCTTTAAAGTACACAAATGGCTGCAATAGCAGAAGTTTTAAAAAGAGTCGAAAATCTCTCTGCTTCTAAGTGGAAGTGATCTGGGCATCTGCATTTCTATTTTATTATCATTTGTCCTTTTTTCTTTTTTTTTCAGGGTAAAATAAGAGGGTAGAGAAGATGGTGGGGGTGGCATCCATGACAGGTTTGCCCAGGGCCCACAAACGTCTTCTGCAGTCTTGGTTCAGTTCTCTGTTTTATTCATGTTAAAGCGGTATTAAACCCAAAAACCAAAAATGCAGTTTACCAATCTTTAGATGTTGGTGACTGCATTAGTTTTCTTTTTTAGGCTTTTTTCCCTTCATGACTGGGGCTAGAATTAAACCCCCTGTTGCATTTGGCAGGCGGGCAATACTACCCCCTGAACGCGACCCATTAAAGGGAATGGAGCCACAGCTGCCCACAATGCACAAGGTTGCAGCTTGGTGGTGGGGACTTTAAGGGATTAAAACAAGCAGTGAAGGGGTGAGATAATGCCTCCTTGCTACCTTCCAAATGCCTTCTAAAAAGTGATCCACCTCAGATTTCTCTTCAGAGGGATAACTCCATTAAAAGTCTGCCTCCAGGACTACTCCAGGGTGTCACCCATCCTCTGGAACCCCCTACCCCAATCCATCAGACTATCACCCACTCTCCTCTCCTTTAGGCGCACCCTAAAAACCCACCTCTTCAGGGAAGCCTACCCCACCCTCTGCTAACTGCCGATCTCCTCCACTCTTCCCACCTCTCCATCCCCCACAGCTTCTCCTCCCGTACCACTATCCCCTCCCTCCTAGATTGTAAGCTCCAAGGAGCAGGGCCCTCGAACCCCACGTGTTTCGCATTGTATTGTTATTGTACTGTCTCATGTATTGTCTCCCATTGTAATGTACAGCGCTGAGCGAACTGTTGGCGTTTTATAAATACTGTATAATAATGATAATAATAATAACTCCATTGTAATATATTGCAGCATATCAATCATTGGATGTGGTGGCTACACTAGTTTTCTTTTGTGATGACTGCATTAGTTTCCCCCCTCTGTTTTCCCCTGGTGATCTGGCCAGTAACACACCTCCTGTATTAGAGTGCCTCCACTCTGGATGAATGAGCACAGGGGGCACCTTTGAACAGCAGCATTGTTAATATAGAGGGTGGGGAGTGTTAGATGGACTATCAGATTTAGATACACTAACAAATTGAAGCCCAACTTCAGGTCACATTTTATAAGCCATTACAGCAACATTTTTTTTTATTTTGGGATAAAGGTTTTATATCAATGAATAAAAGCTGATCATTGTAAGCACCCCCCGTTAGTGTTAAATGGTTTGTCCCATTCCTGTAACTGATACATCTTTGTGGAACATCCATAGAACATCAGTGGTAAATGATGGAGCCTCAAGCCCAAAGTCTACATTGGTTAGAAAAACCATTTATTGAATAAAATTAAATTAAACCAACCGAAGGCAGAGCAGTCAATACATATTTTAATGGAAAAATATTTTCCATTACTGCAGTGGACTGCAAGCAACACATAGTAGCTCCATCTATATCCCATCAATAGTAGTGTTTTTTTTTTTTCTTTTTGAAAAACAATAGACTTGCTGGCTGGATCGCAAGGTGAGAATGAAAGAAAGAAAACCTAAAAAAGAGAAATAATGCAGCCATCACATCGACAAATTGGTAAGCTGCAATATAATAAATGTTTGCTTTTGGGTTTAATACCGTTCTAACTTTTGAAGTTAATATTTACTGAAGGAGAGAACATAAAATGAAAATGTAAATACAGAGCTGGTGTTCTACAAGCGATTGTGATATTGAAAATTGAACTATGTTCATCAATGTTCTTCAATCCAACTTACTGGCAGCGGCCCCTCGCAGACAGACTTCATTCTGCAATGGAGGACGTGTAGTGCAGGTTTTAGAGGAGGTGGAAAGACCGGGATACTATAAACCGCGTCATTGTCCTAGCTAACCTATTTTCACAATGTTCCTCTTGGAAAAAAGTCAAATGTCCAGGTTGTATTTTTATGCTACTTGGTCTCTCGTTGTCCTTTACGGCATGGAACACCATAATGAACAAATACTTACCTCCTCTAGGCCATGAGCAACTGGCCCCCGTACCTTCATGGTCTTCTTCATGGATGGGGCTTTATCTGGCCTCACCTCTCACCTGAACTTGGCAATGATTGCCCCTTATGATTTGGTCTCTGCCTGGTCCTGGCCAATAGTTAGCTGTTTCCAGTTGAGTCACTACCACAGAGTCATCCGTAAACCAAACCCATCCCCACCATCAGGGGCAATGGTGAAAAGCAGGCAGTCCATAAGGTGTCCGTTGGAGAAGAGAAACCCTGGAGAAATGATAAAACCACTCAGTGGTGCCTATGAGGACGGGGCATTCCATTAACAAAGATCTTTCCACTTCACGTAGCATTCCTGTGTATGTCAATGAATGGAGAGAGGAAGGGAACGGCTCGGGAAGACAATGCTGACACCGATTATCTAGGGTGGAACAACAATGATCTGGAAAGTTTCCTATCTTCTCCAAAGTCACCCCTTGAGAGTGGTCAGTCATCTTCATCTGATCTACCCATTTTATGTTGGCCACACACATTCTAGTTCAGCCTTTCCCAACCATTTTATCCCCGGTCCCTGCTAGCATTAATCCATTAAATGTCATTGAAAAAGTGCTCTTTACATTGGTGGTCAGCAGGGCTTTTTTCTCAGAGAATAGGGGCAGGTACTCCCCCTTTCTGAGTCACCCCTTGTCTCCATCCCCTACCTACCTCGGAGCACCACCCCTTGGTTCCTCCCCCCTACCCACCTCTGAGCACCACCCCTTGGTTCCTCCCCCCTACCCACCTCTGAGCACCACCCCTTGGTTCCTCCCCCCTACCAACCTCTGAGCACCACCCCTTGGTTCCTCCCCCATACCCACCTCCCAGTACTGTCCCAACTAAGTAGCATTTTGTGATGCTAAGGAAATTGCTAATGATAACAAGAAAAGCAGTAAAATAGATCCTCTGCAACCAGCAACAATAGATCCCCGTCCAGCAAAAATAGACTGTCCTGCAGCAAAATACCCCCAATCCACAACTAATCCCTTCTCCAGCAATAACAGATCCCTCCAGCAACAACAGACCCTTCCAGCAACAACAGACCCCTCCAGCAACAACAGACCCCTCCAGCAACAATAGGCCCATCCAGCAACAATAGATCTCCCAGCATCCAGCATCAATAGATCCTCAATCAACCAACAACAAGAGAAAGCCTCCAAATTTATCTCCCAGCAACAATTGATTCCCACCCCCCCCCCCCCCCCCCCATCCCAAGCAGGCATCAACACAGCAACAACAGACTATGCAGCACATCCCAGCACCCTTTGTCATTAATTACATTCAGTGCTGCAGGTGCCGGAACTGCATTCCCCCCTGTTCCCACTGAAAAAAGTCCTGGTGGTCAGTGGAAAGAATGCTCCATACATTGGTAGTCAATGGGAAGAAAGCTCCTGCCATTGGTGGTCAGTGGGAAGAATGCTCTTTACATTGGTGGTCATTGGGAAGAATGCTCTTTACATTGGTGGTCAGTGGGAAGAATGTTCCTTACATTGTTGGTCAGTGGGAAGAATATCCCTTACATTGTTGGTCAGTGGGAAGAATGTCCCTTACATTGTTGGTCAACGGGAAGAATGTTCCTTACATTGGGGGTCAGTGGGAAGAATATCCCTTACATTGTTGGTCAACGGGAAGAATATCCCTTACATTGGGGGTCAGTGGGAAGAATGTCCCTTACATTGGGGGTCAGTGGGAAGAATGTCCCTTACATTGTTGGTCAACGGGAAGAATGTCCTTACATTGTTGGTCAGTGGGAAGAATGTTCCTTACATTGGGAGTCAGTGGGAAGAATTTCCCTTACATTGTTGGTCAGTGGGAAGAATGTTCCTTACATTGGGGGTCAGTGGGAAGAATGTCCCTTACATTGTTGGTCAACGGGAAGAATGTCCCTTACGTTGGTAATCAGTGGGAAGAATGTCTAATACAGGGGTCTCCAAACTTTCTAAAGAAAGGGCCAGTTTACTGACCTTCACCCTTCAGGGAGATCAAAATTTGGCTATTGGGAGTAGAAATGGTCCTGATGTCAGTTGGAATAGGCGATGCCCCATCTTTGGTGTCAGAGGAAGGAAGAGCACCCCATTGTTGGTGTCAGTGGGAGGAATTGTGCCCCATCATTGGTGTCATTGGGAGGAAATGTACCCCTTTATTGGTGTCATTGGGGAGAATTTTGTTCCATTGCTGGTATCAGTGAATGATATAGTGCCCCAAGGGCCGGATAAAAACAGTCAAAGGGCTGCATCTGGCCCCTAGGCCACATTCTGGAGACCAGTGGTCTAATACTTTGATGTTCAGTGGGAAGAATGTTCTTTACATTGGTGGTCAGTGGGACAAATTCCCCTTACATTGGTAGTCAATGGTAAGAATGTCCTTTATGATGGTGGTCAGAAAGCCACCCTTACAGACATACAAAAACAAAATCATTGCTACCATGCCTACCAAGTGGCATTGAGCCCAGAACTATACAGGCACCATCAAATTTAATGTCAATCAGCCACAGCTCAAAGAACCCCTAGCCACCTCTGGATGAACCGTGGGGTTCCACAGAACTCTGGTTGAGAAATGGTTGATCAGTTCTACAATTATCTTTAGCTTTACCAACAACTACGTACCAATCAGATTGGATATAAGCTGAACAGATTGTTTATGTAGGCCATCATACTTGATAGCTTTTGATTAACCTATAGAACCTTACAACAGCAATTGTACAGATTGTGGACAGATTTATAGGCAGCTCCAGAGGAAACATGGAGGATCCACCCAAGCAGTAAAAAGATCATGAAAGAAATCATCTGGTTTGCACCCTCGTGTCAGACCGCCATCTAATATCTGTAGCCAGTTTTAACCGAAAACTTCAGTGCCCAGCTACAAGTCTGGACAGGCCGTGGGCATGGTGTGGTCTAAGTGTGTTTTACATTCCATACACGGGATATTTGCATGTCAGCCAACAGTTCATACTGATGGGAAGCTCCTGCATAGATTCCGGTTGTGTCATCCACTTTTCTTTGTTATCCTGGAAAACTGAAGCTGGTTTAGTCATCCGTCAAAGTACAATTGTTCCTGTAGGCAGTGCGAGGTGCGGCGGCGGCCTCCGACTGACAGCAACATCTGGGTACTGTAATGGGTGTTATTTAAGGGGGAGCCTGGGAAAATAATCCAATGCAGTAAATATGACACTGTATACCGTGCCTGTGCGTGATGTTATGATCCAGCTTCCCAGCCGCGCACAGCGTGAGATGTCACCAACAGCTGTACGGTGCTGAGTCCGCCCAGGCTGAGCCTCGGCTTTAATTGGAAACATGCAGGAGTCTATTAACCGAGGCAATGCCATCACCAAGTGCACAATGCAATCATCCGTAGCGGAAAAATCACTTTACCAGTTTGGTCGCTGAAAGGGGACCTCAGATTGCTTGGCTCTTAGGATCTCAAGGAATCCTTTTTTCTTAGTCAGTATTTTAGACCAAAAATGGTTATTTAGATTCCCGATGGCCCCTGTAGACCACTCGTTGGTGTGATATGGTGCCACTTCCCAAAGCACCTGAAGGATAGCACCCCTCAACCAGGGGCGGACTAACAACTCATGGGGCCCCTGGGCAATAGGGGATCATGGGGCCCCTGCAGGGGCGGACTGACAAATCATGGGGCCCCCCAGGGTAATAGAGGATCATGGGGCCCCTGTGTCCTCGCCCACACTAAAACCATACCCAAAAAAGCCTATGAAAGGTACCAGGGGCATCTCATGGGGCCCCCTACTGACCCTGGGCCCTCGGGCAGTGTCCGAGTTTCCAAATGGTCAGTCCGCCCCTGGGCCCCTGTGTCCTTGCCCAAACTCAAAAAAGCCTATGAAAAAGGTACCAGGGGCATCTCATGGGGCCCCCTACTGACCCCGGGCCCTCGGGCAGTGCATAAGTTTCTGAATGGTCAGTCCGCCCCTGGGCCCCTGTGTCCTTGCCCAAACTCAAAAAAGCCTATGAAAAAGGTACCAGGGGCATCTCATGGGGCCCCCTACTGATCCCGGGCCCTCGGGCAGTGCCCGAGTTTCCAAATGGTCATTCCGCCCCTGATTCGAACCATGTATGGCCTGCATTAGTGAATATAGCCACTTTGTGATGACCACCTTTAGCTTCCATCCTCCTATAAACCACACCAAAATATCTTCCCTTCCCATTCATCAGCTCATGAAGCAAACTCTCCTGCTGCAAGCCAAATTTCAACTTTCAGCTGGTGTGTGAAAATTCAGTTTATTGAAAAATTTTAAGCAATTCAGATGGACTAATTGAAAAAGGATTTGTACCTTTGAAGCAATACATAAATGCTTTAATCGGTGCTTTGTATGTTTGCTCAGAGTTCTCCTTGAACGCATCTCACAGTAAGCAGAGATCAGTACGCACGCGGCGGTAGATTTCTTGGTTTGGAGACTGTTTACATACGAGGAGCTCTTGGAAGTTCTGGGCAGGGATGACAAGAGGCGGTGAGGTGGGGTGTTTGTCCCGGAATGTTGGCAGCAAAACCTTCCGAGATCCTGTTTGGGTGACACTAGCACATCCGGGGATCATGCCATTCACGGACTATTGCATGCTATGGTAAGAAGGCCTGACGCCAGCTCAGGGAACAGTAAATAGAACGAAGAATCCTTTCTGGACTATTGTTATATAAAACGATTCCCATACTGAAGAAACAACAGGACAGTATAATGACCACCCTGATCAGCCCCAGAACCTGTGTAATTATTATTATTATACAGGATTTATATGGCGCCAACAGTTTGCTCAGCGCTTTACAATATAACGGGAGACAATCCAGCAACAATACAGTTCAATACAAGAGGGTTAGGAGGGCCCTGATCCTGGGAGCTTACAATCTAGGAAGGAGGGGCTAGTGGTACAAAAAGGTAATAACTGTTTGGGATGGACTGGTTGGAAGAGTAGAAGATTCCAGTATTAGCTGACGGCAGGATAGGCTTCCCTGAAGAGATAGGTTTTCAGAGATCACCTAAGAGTGAGCAGAGTAGGCGATAGTCTGATAAATTGGGGTAGAGAGTTCCAGAGGATGGGGGAAGCTCTGGAAAAGTCCCGGAGACGAGCATGGGAGGATGAGACAAGGGAGCTAGAGAGCAGGAGGTTCTGCGAGGAGCAGAGAGGACGGTTTGGGTGATATTTGGAGACAAGATCGGTGATGTAATTTGGGGCAGAGTTGTAAATGGCTTTATATGTTATTGTTAGTGTTTTGAATTTTATCTGTTGGGCAATGGGAAGCCAGTGGAGGGATTGGCAGAGAGGGGCGGAGGACACTGAATGGAGGCCAGTGGAGGGATTGGCAGAGAGGGGTGGAGGACACTGAGTGGAGGCCGGTGGAGGGATTGGCAGAGAGGGGTGGAGGATACTGAATGGAGGGCAGTGGAGGGATTGTCAGAGAGGAGTGGAGGACACTGAGTGGAGGCCAGTGGAGGGATTGGCAGAGAGGGGTGGAGGACAATGAGTGGAGGCCGGTGGAGGGATTGGCAGAGAGGGGTGGAGGATACTGAATGGAGGGCAGTGGAGGGATTGTCAGAGAGGAGTGGAGGACACTGAGTGGAGGCCAGTGGAGGGATTGGCAGAGAGGGATGGAGGACACTGAATGGAGGCCAGTGGAGGGATTGGCAGAGAGGGGTGGAGGACACTGAGTGGAGGCCAGTGGAGGGATTGGCAGAGAGGGGTGGAGGACACTGAGTGGAGGCCAGTGGAGAGATTGGCAGAGAGGGATGGAGGACACTGAGTGGAGGCCAGTGGAGGGATTGACAGAGAGGGGTGGAGGACACTGAGTGGAAGCCAGTGGAGGGATTGGCAGAGAGGGGTGGAGGACACTGAGTGGAGGCCAGTGGAGGGATTGGCAGAGATGGGTGGAGGACACTGAGTGGAGGCCAGTGGAGGGATTGGCAGAGAGGGGTGGAGGACACTGAGTGGAGGCCAGTGGAGGGATTGGCAGAGAGGGGTGGCTGATACAGAATGGTTAGTAAGGTGGATGAGTCTGGCAGCAGCATTCATGATAGACTGAAGAGGGGATAGCCTGCGATGAGGTCGGCCAATGAGGAGGGAGTTGCAATAGTCAAGGCGAGATATAACAAGGGAGTGAATAAGTTGCTTAGTGGTTTCCGTTGTTAGGAACGGTTGTATCTTGGAGATGTTGCGGAGGTGAATGTGTTCGGGTTAAAGGGATGAGGGGGCAACCTTAGTACAGGGGTAACAGTCTCTCTGTTTCTCATCCCTGTAAAGCTGGGATCAGAAACTAGGAGATCGTCAGTAAAAGCAGCTCACATTACACACATTACATATAGTTAGGCACACATTTAACTCCTTGATCGCCCTTGATGATAATCCCTTTCCAACCAATGGCATTAGTACAGTGACAGTGTGTAGTATTATCACCAACTACCATATTAATGTCACTGGTGATGTCAGTAGCAGTTAATCAGTTCCCCCCCAGCGTCAGTTAGTGTCAGATTGTCCAGCACACTATCACAGTATCAGGAGGCAGCTGCATAGGGTACAGTGAATACAAGGTTGGGGGGGGGGATGCTATTGCACCCCCTGAATCCCAGCCCCATACATTATACATTAAACAGGATACTTGTTTAACACTTCCCATCCAGCCCATGTACATAAACGGCCGGACAGGAGCAGTGCAGGAGTGGGTTGCCGTTTACAAACGGTGCCCGCATTCACAGTCTGTGCACGCTCCCCGAGAGCGTGCGGCACTGCAATCCGGTGCCCGCTGTGTCTTCCGGACACAGCGGAACACCAATTGTTGTACGGGACCGCTGTGTGAGGTCCCAATCATGTGATCACCGATTGGCCAATCAGTGATCACATGAATAGTAGTAAGGAAGA